TAGATTTGCCATTTGCTGTGATAACAATTTATTTTCAGCTAGCACTGCATCATTATTGTCCAGGTGAAGAATACCTCTCTTAGGCTTAGATGACAACCCTTCATTTTCATTGGCAGCCATTCTTTCAATCAATGCAAGAGTCTCATTTGCTCTCATCGATTTGATGCTACCACCTGCTGCACCATTCAGGACCATCCGGATTTCCGGTTTACAAACCGTTGAAGAAGATCCGGACCTGATCACCATTGGTCATGGGGTAATGAGGACACCTCCTCATTAGATCTTTGAAGCGGTTCCAGGCTCCACACATAGTTTCACCCTCAGCTTGAGTGAAATTGGTGATATCATTCACCATTTGATTGTACCTCTCCATTGAGAAGAATTCAGCAAAGAACTTGTTTGATAAATTCTCCAATGAGGGAATACTTCTCGCAGGTTGCCTCCCCAACAAATTCAAAGCTTTTCCTTTAAGAGCAAAAGGAAATAGTCTCAGCCGGACTGCATTTTTGGACACTTGAGGATGTTTGGTTGAATCACAGATCATCAGGAATCTGTTTATGAACCTATGAGGGTCTTCATCAACCTCTCCACCAAACTGAGCTCTCTCCACTAGTCGAATATTATCAGACTTGAGCTCCCAATTATTGTTGCCCACTTCAGGATGGACAATGCTCGCATTGGGTCTGTTGAATAATGGAGTCAAAATGGTATCCATGAGCGGATTGTCCTCTTCATTGTTCCCTGCCATGGTGTATTCTTCTTCTGACAGAATATCTAACTCGTTGAATACAAGGTTCTTCCGAGCAAATTTTCTATTTTTATTCTCTGTTTTTGTGATCTCCAAATCAAGTGGAAACTCGGGCTCTTTACCTCGCATACAACTTGGAAAAGATATTAGTAGCACTTGTTCAAATATCACAAAAAAAAAATCAAAAAAGAAATAAAAAATAAAAATAAAAATAAAAATAAAAGAAAATTCCAATCTTAAAAATCAAAATTAATTGATATACGAAACGCCAATCCCCGGCAACGGCGCCAAAAACCTGATGCTCACCGGCAAGTGTACCGATCGCACAAGTAATATAGAAAGTAAGTAAGTATCATCTCCACAGGGATCGGGTCGAATATCAATTAATCCTTCCTTTCAAGAATGGAAGAGTTCAAAAGGGTTTTGACAAATATTGTCGGTTTGTGTAAAATTGAGAACTTAAAATAAAGACTTGTTTTTATATTTTTAAATTTAGGAAAAGAACAATAAAATGAGAATTGATTTTTGTAATGTGAGAAAAACATTGTAGCTAGAGCGCACTCACCTTATGATCCCCACTTCTTACTTTGGATTGAATTACAATATTCATTTATAAAACTACTCGGATAAACTATTATCTAAAATAATTAGTTAAATCCCAATCCCTTGGCAACTTAACCCTTTTAATTTCAATTGGAATCCTAATCCCTTAGTAACCCCTCATGAAAATTAAGCGATGAACTCTATAATTTAGGCATCTGAAATTCAATACACATTTATTCCTAACATGCATACGAACCGTTATCCTACCCCCTTTCAGGATGAAAACCCCAATATCCCTATCTAGGGTTCTAACCCTCAGACTATTATCAACTATTAGAGTGATCAATTCTAATAAAGAAAATATAAAATACGCGCAGGATAGAGATAAAGACAATTTATATAAACGAGTAAAAGTAAACCAATCCGTCGTAACAAGGGTTCACATAGGGTTTGTGACCCTAACTACAATAAAAAGATAAACTAGCCAAACATAATCATGGCTAAAAATCCAATATTCAAAAGCATAAAATTAAAGAGAAAAGAGAAGAAGAACTTGATCTCAGGAATCCTCTCAGAGCTCTGCCGTCGTCTCTCTTCAGAAGAATAGGTCTGAATACCTAATTGTGTCATATGGATCCTATTTATAATCCTCTTTTCTTCCTTCCAAAAATACCCCCACGGCAACACGGTATTATTTTCCCGCAACCCGGCGCCAGTTAACGCTGGTTTGGCGCTACTTCGCGCCGCGCCTCTGTGCAAAATTGCAAAGTCGGAACCAAATCTTCGTAACATGGCGCCAGTTGGCGCCATCCTTCACTTTTTGGGCGCCACTTGGCGCCACTTCTTCACTTCCTTGGCGCCATCTTGCGCCACTTTTGTGTGGAATTGGCGTGGTGGCGCTAGTTTGCGCCAACTAGCGCCAATTCCCTGGACTTTTGTACTATGAAACATGGCGCTAACTTGCGCCACTGTGGCGCCAAGTTGCGCCATTTCTCTGGACTTTGGCCTATTTGACATGATGCAACATGGAACTTTCCTGTGTGTCGAGTCGCGTCAACGGGCTTTTTATAATTTGTAATTTTTCACTCCTCTTTTTCCTGTAAAAACACAACCAAAAGGTGAATATTATTGACATAGAAAGAATCAATATAAATAGCAAATATGTATTTAAATTCCTCTCTTATGACCCAATTCTTATCAATTTTAATACTGAAAAATCACACTTGCCAGAGGCACATCATGTACTGTATCTCCCGAATGAACCCGGCATCCAAGAGTTCTTTAACGTGTTCTTGTACAACTTGTTTCCTTTCTGGTCCCAGTTTTCTTTTCTTCTGGGAAACTGGCGTGGACCCCGGATAAGCTGCCAATTTGTGACAACAAAATGCGGGGTCGATGCCAGGGATCTCTGACGACTTCCATGCAAATACATCCGTGTTGCTTTTAAGAAAGTCAGCCAAAATTTGATTAATCTGGGGGTCTATGGTCTTACCAATGCGGGTAAATTGACCAGGCTCTTTCCCAGTGTGAGATCTTCAAGCTCTCCATCAGGTTTGTGTCTCGGCATTATTTCTTCTCTCATGTCGAGTTCAACCAGGTTGACTGGCTTCTTAGATTCTGAGGAGTTACATTCCTACCGGTTTTATCCCCCGGGTGAATTCGGGATGGGCTCGAACGTCCTCCTTCATTTTCTCTGATAGTATCAAAGTAGCAGCCCCTGGATTCCTTCTGATCTACACAAACAGTGATTATTTCATTCTTATTGCTCACCATTTTTATCTTATGGTATTTTGTAGAAACCAGCATGTCCCACTGATGTATGGTCGGTCTTCCCAGGATTATATTATATTCTGAAGGGAAATCGGCCACTATGAACCTAACTCGTTCTGATCTGAACGTTTCCTTTGTTCCCAAGGTTAATCTGAGATCAATGTAGCCTTTAGGAGGTGTATGCTCTCCATTAAAGGCTAACAGCGTCGTTTTGCAATGTTTGAGGTCCTCTTCATCCAGGTTCATCTTTTTAAAAGCATCCCAGAGTATGATGTCGGCACAGCTCCCTGCATCCACGAAAATCTTCCGAACCCGGCAATTCACTAGGGTCCCAGCAATGATCAGTCCGTCAACATGACCCGGCAACACGCCGCGCATGTCTTCTTTTGTAAAATACAAAAGAGGAGGGTCTGGCTTGGTTAGGTCTTCTTTGAACTTGGGACGGTCCCGAATAGAGAGTACCTCTTTCAGGTATTTTCTTCTAGAACTTACAGTATCTCCTCCTCCCCCCAAGGCTCCACTAATTACATTACAATCAAACTCCACTTCTGGGAATTCGTCATGGTTGGGATCATTTTTCTGATTCCTCTCCTGTTTGTTCTTCTTTTCAGGAACGGGACTTTTGCTCCGATTCTTGTTTCCCAACTTCCTTTTGTTGTTTCTGGAACCTTGGGTTTTTATCACGTATTGACGTAACCTTCCATCTCGAACAAACTTCTCCACCGCATCTCGGAGATCCCAGCATTGATAAGTAGTATGCCCCAGCCCGTCATGGAAAGCACAATATTTGGACTTATCTAAACCCCCTCTGTCGAATATAGGCCGGGGTCTCCCCACCTTCTTTATCTCTGTGAGTGCCACTTCCCTCCAGATTTGCGAACGCGACGCATTCAAAGGTGTATACTTGTCATATCTCCCAACCTGATCCCTCATGTACGAGATTCGGGGGCGTTGATCTTTCTTCTTACTGTCAACTCGTTCTTTCCCCTTTTGAGGTGATCCGGGGTGAATGCAAGTGGCGTCTTGCACTAGTGTGGGTATTTGGCGTATGTAAATCTTGCATTTCTCTGGCCAGTAGAATAGAATTGACACACATGACATGATTATCTGCTGCATTACACTATTTTAGAACTGATGATGATGAACTGCTTTTGAACTTATATTGCACATGTAAGTGAGCTTGGGGTGGAAGATCCTTGAGGACCCCTTGTCTTACTGAGATTTCTTGTTTAGAGATCTCACCCCACGTTTGGGGAATGCTTATTTCAGGTTCCGGTAGTTTGGTGACCGGTGCCTCTGGCCATAGCTTAGTTGATGATATTATGTTGTATTGCTGCCATGACTGGATATTGATGATGTTTATGTTTTCCGCTATTTATGATTATGTTATGGTTGAGATTGATGTTGGGCGTGTTGCCTTATTTGAGTGAGCATGGGGATTGTCCATGACACTTTATGTTTGTACCTTTTAGATTGGAGTTGTATAAACTGTTAGATGGTCTGGTCTACGTTGTTGTAGTTCCATGACTAGAGCCACACTTTGATTATCTATGTTATGAGGTATTTCAGTTAGCTGTTTTATTGTAATTACATACAGGCGATGTTTTATTAATTGATTAATAAGCAAGTTGGTAATGATAATGACATCATAATTGAAAAGAAAAAGATATCCCGCATTTTTAATTAAGTGCTGCTTAATACGATAGTATGATAACATTACCGGATATATACGGGGTGTTACATTTATGGTATCAGAGCAATGGTTCGAGGGAAAAGCCTGTATATATTGCAATAGCTAGGATGTTTGGTTGTGTCTGTCTTGTGTGTTTACTCCGTCGAATTTTATTATGATAATGCATATGTAATCACACTGCGTGGGCCTGATCAACTCATAATTTGTGTAACTTGTGCAGAGTCATGGTAAGGTCCGAGAGAACACGAGAGACTTCTGAGGATCAACCCGATCCTATTCTGACTGCATTGGCTGCGATGCAGGCGGCTAGGTTAGCTGATCAGGAGGCCACTAGATTGGCCAACGCGGCAATGATGGATGTTGTTTGCGAGGGGAACCGGAGAGCCGCAGAAGAGGTTCGTGAAGCGAACCGGAGGACCACTGAGGATGTCCTCGAGGCGAACAGGATGGCGAACATGACGATGATGAGAGTCATGTTGGAGGAGATGAGGGCTGGTCCTGCTTTAGGCCAGGCACCACCGCCACCACCGTCACCGCCGCCGCCTCCACCTAGTGTTCCGGATGAGAGCCTGAGTCACTTTGGCAGTGCTGCTCATGTCGCTGAGACGAGGGAGACTCTTGTAGAGCCTGCTGAGGATCGTGATGTGATAGATCGACGGCTGAATGCTTTCAGGAAGCATAAGCCACCTGTGTTTGAGGGGTCTTTGGATCCTATTGCTGCTGCTAGATGGCTGGAGTCGCTGGACAAGATTTTTCGGGTCATGCAGTGTACAGATCCGCAGAAGCTGATGTTCTCGACTTATATGCTGGAGGGCGATGCCCAGGAGTGGTGGACGAACACCTCTCGTGCTTATGAGATGCAGGGTCGTGTTCTGACATGGCCATTCTTCGAGGAGTGTTTCTTGGGTAGATATTTTCCCTATGATGCGCAGGAGAGGAAGCGGGGGGAGTTTGACAGATTGGTTCAGGGCTCGATGTCTGTTGACGAGTACTTGGCCAAGTTTAATGAGCTGGTGAAGTTTGCACACTTCAGGATGGTTCCTCCTACTCTGATTTTTCTGGCTGCTAAGTTCCGTAGGGGACTTAGTGAGGTGATTGTTGAGCATATTGCTGGAGCTGCTTCGAGGGATTTTGGTACACTGGTTCAGCAATGTAAGGACATTGAGGATGTCTGCATAGCGAGTAAGGCCAAGAGGGCCAAGGTCGACGAGACCAAGGGGACTGTTGGTTCCACTTTTGTTTCTACGTCCTGGAAGGACAAGAGCTTTGCTGGGAAGGGCAAGGGTAAACAGTTGGCGACTAGGTAGGCGCCTGGTCAGTTCAAGAGGACTGCTTCTCAGCAGGGGAGTTTTGCTAGGCCTCCTTCCACTCCGAGATGTGCGGGGTGCGGGAAGGAGCATGTGGGGCGTTGTGCTTCGGGGCAGTTGGTCTGTTTTCAGTGTGGCAAGGAGGGCCATTTCTCTAGAGACTGTCCGTCGTCGACGGCGAGAGCTGCAGCTGTTCAGGAAGTTCCTTTGCAGATGGTTCCGATGGCTTCTACTTCGGCACCTGCAGTGCCACCTTCTGTTGGGCGTGTGTACACCTTGGATAGGCAGCAGTCAGACCGCGCTCCGAACCTTGTTAGAGGTACTGTGTCTATTGGTGATATTGTTGTTGATGCATTGTTTGACTCCGGGGCTACGCATTCGTTTGTTGCTACCCCGATTGCTTTGGGGCTTGAGTTGCCCATGTCTGTGCTTTTTCCACCGTTGCGGGTGACTACCGCCACCGGAGAGATATGTGTTTCTACCATTGTACATCGCGATGTAGCGTTTCAGTGGGATGGCTGTGAGTTCTCGGTAGATCTGATAGGATTGCCGATGGCCAACCTTGAGATTATTCTGGGCATGGATTGGTTGTCTAGAAACTGTGCTTTGATTGATTGCTGTGCAAAACGCGTGGTGATGTCTCCGTGTGATTCCACAGCTAGTTCCTCACCATATATTTCATTGCTGCAGGCTAGGAAGGCCTTGAGAGCAGGGGCATTTGGTTATGTCATGTTGGGAGGTTTGGTGAGTGGGACACAGGAGTATATCACTGGCATTCCTGTGGTGGGGAGTTCCTCAAGGTGTTTCCTGAGGAGATTCCTGAGTTTCCGCCACAGCGGGAGATAGAGTTCTCCATTGACTTGTTGCCTGGTGTGGGGCCGATTTCTTTGGCTCCATATCGGATGTCGCCACCAGAGTTGGCTGAGCTTAAGAAGCATATTGAGGATCTTTCGGCGAAAGATTTCATTAGACCGAGTGTGTCTCCTTGGGGAGCACCGGTTATCTTTGTGAAGAAGAAGGATGGGACAATGCGATTGTGCACCGACTAGAGGCAATTGAACAAGGTGACAATCAAGAACAAGTATCCTCTTCCTCGGATTGATGATCTGTTGGATCGCTCAGGGGTGCTTGTGTGTATTCCAAGATTGATCTCCGGTCCAGATACCATCAGATTCGGGTGAAGCCGGAGGATGTCCCTAAGACCGCGTTTCGTTCGAGATACGGTCACTTTGAGTATTTGGTGATCCCGTTTGGACTCACCAATGCGCCGGCAGTGTTCATGGATTACATGAACAAGATTTTCCAGCCGTATCTGGATCAGTTTGTGATTGTCTTCATTGATGATATTCTGATCTACTCCAAGACTGAGGAGGAGCATGCAGAGCATCTCAGGATTGTTCTGCAAGTGCTGAAGGAGAAAAAGTTTTATGCTAAGCCTTCTAAGTGTGAGTTTTGGCTCAAATCAGTCAAGTTTCTGGGGCATGTGATTTCAGCAGATGGAGTTGCAGTGGATCCCAACAAGATTGAGGCCGTACAAGATTAGGAGAAGCCCAAGACAGTCACGGAGGTGAGGAGCTTCTTAGGTTTGGCAGGTTACTATCGGAGGTTCATCAAGGGTTTCTCCACGATGGTTCTCCCTTTGACTCGCCTTACCCGAAAGGAGACTCCATTTGTGTGGACTCACGAGTGTGAGGCGTGCTTTCAGGAGTTGAAGGAGAGATTGACTTCTTCACCTGTGTTGATCCTTCCTGATCCTGAGGAGCAGTTTGAGCTTTACTGTGATGCTTCGGGAAAGGGGCTGGGCTGTGTGTTGATGCAGTCTGGTAGAGCTGTTGCTTTTGCTTCGAGGCAGTTGAAGTCTCATGAGGAGAACTACCCGACTCACGATTTGGAGTTGGCTGCGATTGTTTTTGCTTTCAAGATTTGGAGGCATTACCTGTTTGGTTTGAGGTTTGTGGTGTTCAGTGACCACAAGAGTTTGAAGTATCTTTTCGACCAGAAGGAGCTGAACATGAGGCAAAGAAGATGGATGGAGTTCATAAAGGATTACGACTTTGAGTTGAAGTACCATCCTGGCAAGGCCAATGTGGTAGCTGATGCTTTGAGCCGGAAACCCGGGAGTTCATCCAGTTTGTTACTTGGTAACTTTGATGTTGTTGAGAAGTTCCGAAACCGGGCAGTGACCACTCCAAGTGATGGAGTACTTCTCGAGTTGGAAGCAGCAGATGTTGTGAACGAGCTGTTAGAAAAGATCAAAGAGGCACAAGTTCAGAGAGAGTGCCTGGATTATGTGAAGAACCAAGACGATGTGTCTTGGAATGGTGAGGGATTGCTTTTGTTTCAGCAGAGGATTGTAGTTCCTCGAGGTCCGTTGACAGAAGAGGTTATGGCAGAAGGCCATAAGGGTCAGTTTGTTGTTCATCTTGGTGCTACGAAGATGTACCAAGACTTGAAGAGAAATTTCTGGTGGCCAGGAATGAAGAAGGACATAGCTGTGTATGTGTCCAAGTGTTTGATCTGCCAGAAGGTGAAGATTGAACACCAGAATCCGTCTGGTAAACTTCAACCTCTTAAGATTCCAGAGTGGAAATGGGAGAGCATTTCCATGGACTTCGTTGTGGGTTTGCCGAAGACTCAGGTTGGCTGTGACTCGATATGGGTCATTGTGGACATATTGACAAAGTCTGCCCATTTTCTTCCAGTGAAGATGAGCTTCTCTATAGAGTAGTTGGCCAAGCTTTATGTTCGCGAGATCGTGAGGCTTCATGGGGTGCCCGAGAGTATCATTAGTGATAGGGACCCGAAGTTCACATCTCGGTTCTGGGAGGCGTTGCAGGGAGCTTTTGGTACGCAGTTGAGACTGAGTACAACCTATCACCCTCAGACTGATGGACAGACTGAGCAGACTATCCAGACCTTAGAGGACATGTTGC